ACTCGATAACTATTTTGAATGGTTGAGAATGGAGCGAATTTTTTCGCTTCTTTAAACATGTAAGTAATAATACGGTGAATGTAAATAGAAATACGAGATAACGTTGACGTAACCTATTCGAAAGATAAGGAAACATGCGACATTTATAATTAGAATAGCTAGACACGACACGGGTTGCCTGCCTATTTTAAACCAACGCCCAGCATAGCCCGCGTATTGTATCTAGCTGGTACTGTGGAGCAGCGTGTACAAATGGATGAACAAAACAAACATTCCTTAGAGGACAAAGGTGCTTTGGTACAAGCTTCAGTAAACAAACAAACACTCACCCCCCACTTCACTGCTAACAGACATGTCTTACCCAGAAGTTTAGGGACAGCGCAAATGAAGACGAAATTTTGCAAACCATTGCATATTGGACTTTATAGGCTGACAAACAAGAATCAACCGAAGTGAACTTCTAAAGGCATATTCGATCGCTCTCGAAAATGCTAATTATAAAGTTCATAATCCCTTGTCATTAGAATATTCTCTCCTCCTCTTCCGTGTTACTTTCGAGAAAGCGACGGCTGGGGTATTACATCAGGTGAATTCAGTTGATTTTGTTTTAAATATAGGACCTCTTTTAAGGAGCAGATGGAAAATACGCCGTGTATGCCAAATTTATAAAGTTTGTTTCGCTGGTTTATTTTGCAATTACATCACTTACGAACTCCACCAATGAGATACATATACAGTAGAAGATAACTCACAAATCCTAGCTATCTCAACAATTTCACAAAGAATTTCTACCTGACCTCTAGTATTTCACCAACAAAAATAAACCTTGCTATTTTTTTAAACTCGGTCTCAAAATATCCACCTACACTCCTAATTTAGCCCTTGAAACAAATCAAGCGATAATTTCGGCGTTACAGGGGTGATTTGGGACCATTTTTCTGATAAAAAGGGTCAGGTATCGTCCGAGATTGGAAACGTGCCCGAGTGATTTTAACACTACGTCGTTCGAGGAACAAAATCACGACTCAGTTTTCCAAAGGTTTATCTACGAATTAAAGGCCAATTTTAAGACCCATCTTTGTGAATCTATTCCAAGAAAGATATTAAGATCAAAAACCGTTTTAGAAGGACTTGTATATTTTAAGTTGAGATTCTTCTTCCTTTGTTGCTTTTGCCGGTCACAAGCAATAAGTTGTATTCGTTTTAAAGTTGATGAAACTACCAAAGGATTTTTTAGGCAACAGGTTTCTTTCATTACCGAACTGTCATATTTTATCAACACAATATCCCCTTTACATTTTAACAGAGCACCCTTAGGTAAAAGCATCCCTTTACACCCCTATATCGATGTAGTCGAATAAATTCTCTCGCTTTACTCCCGTAAATTTTGACCCAATTTCCTTATCATTCCAAACTTGAACACTCACCATAGCTTGACATTTTAACAAGTATCGTGGGAAGTATTGAAGAGATGCTACAATCAATCAATTTACTTTCACTGCAAATGTACTCTGCCTTCCTCCAACATGGTGCTTGATCACTTTGTATCAAAGTGATTTGAACTTCTTTTGTGTTGGCAGAATTATTATAATATTTTGCAGTACCATGCGTATCATTGTTAGAACGCGTTTAGGTTACATCACAATGGTGGTCCAGTGGTCGTTTAATAGATTTAGTAATAGCTTTGACAGTCGTAGCTATCTATCAATGAAAGAATTATGGTAATCCAACCAGTCGCTCCAAAGATTACTCCTACATACAAACTTCTACCTCTTTATAATATTAGTATAAATTATACGCAACCTTTAACATTCACTTTCAAAACTAAAATATATCCCGGGATTTTAACACGAGCACCGTTTAAAGGTTTAAAGTAATAGCTCGACTAAAATGCGAAAATCAGTATCAGTATAATTTCAGCATATAGCACTTAGGAACATTGTAACAATCTATCAATGAAAGAATTTTGGGAAATCCGAGCAGCTGTTTAAAAGTATTTTACCTCTTTAAATATCAGCCAAAATAAACGCGAAAGTAGAATTTTGTATTCTTCGCTTCACAACTGTAAAGTATCTAATTACTTGAAGAGGCAAATTTCCGATGTCGCCTATTTCCCTCACACCGGAGACTCGATCTGGGTCTTTGGAGCACCAGTAAATTAGCATATTGCTTCACAAGGGAACCACTTGAAAAGTCATTAGGTTCAAGTTCTGGGTAACCTGTTTGTGTAGTCTAAAATCTGGATCAATATCGTTATAGAATCAGCCTTCATCTTTGCTGTATTGTTTCCTGTTTACCATAATTTATTCTGAATGCCAGTGAATTTATTAGGGAACTTTTTTTTACTATAGTTTTCTTAGCTATGGGTAAAAAAATTCGACACTAAGATAAAATATTTCCATACAACATCTTTATCATTTAGGTGCGTATCTTTATTATAATTATTTATTGAATACTTAAGTGCTGTCAGTAGCTTTTATTACGCATGTTTAAAAATCGTTTTGAATTTAATGTCTGCATAAAATATGTATATAAAATACATAGATAGACTCAAAACTTACACCTACATCTATCTGCCGCATTTATGACGACTACGCTTCAATAACGCAAAGATTCTTATTAATCATAGATTATTTAAAGATCAACGATACCTACTTGAAGACACTTATCATAATTATAAAAAAAAAATTTACAAAATAAAAAAACCGCCTTCAAAAAAAGTCAAGCAATAAAAGTTCCTACACTAAAAAGTAAAAAATAACAATTTGAATTACTGTAAAAAAACTTAATTTATAGGTAAACTTATTTGACATTAATATTTTGCAAATATTCAAAATTTATTACTTATTTTTGGAGTCGGTGCCAGCATTTTGATGTTGAAACTTAATGTTAGTTAGGTTTTTAATATCCGGTGCCATTTTTCGTACATAATGCTTAAACATTTTCAATGTACTTAAAATGTTTTTGTAAGTACATATTTTTTATTTAAAAAATGTGCAAATCGGACATTTTTTGTAGAGAAGTCTAATCTGTATTTATGTCTTAATTAATATACCTATATTTGAGTATGCAAATAGGTATTAAGTAGTTTTATAATTAAGTAAGAGGTAGTTTTTCAAGGGATTGTTGCACATTTGTATTTCCTTGCATGGGCTGGCACCGACTCCAAAAAATAAGTAATAAATTTTGAATATTTGCAAAATATTAATGTCAAATAAGTTTACCTATAAATTAAGTTTTTTTACAGTAATTCAAATTGTTATTTTTTACTTTTTAGTGTAGGAACTTTTATTGCTTGACTTTTTTTGAAGGCGGTTTTTTTATTTTGTAAAATTTTTTTTTATTTGTAGCCGTTTAGTGTTTTTTTTTTTTATTATAATGTGTTATGGCAAAGAAGTCAATATCGTTCCTACATTTCTTTTGAAAAAGTTACCAATGTCATACTTATACGTAGAAATACATATCATAGTACATTGTTACTGTGTAATCGTTTTGATCTCGAGGAGAGATGATATGATGCATGAGATACTTATGACTTATAGTTAAAATAAAATAATAATCTTATCATAAATTCATATTAGTTCTCGCCAAATAACAAAAAACTAGATATTTTCATCAACAGACAGATAAAGTTCAAAGATACCAAATGCAATCTAATTTAGTATCTATGATTAAATACATTCGTACATCGAAAAAAGACCGATGCAATTATTGTTTTGTATCAATTGTAACCCATTAAATGAAGAATACTATTTTGTTATTACTAAGAACATTCATATATAGACAAGTTGGTAAAAATATAAAAGACCATCGCTATTGTAAATATACATTTATGACTCATTCAATGTATGAACCTTTTTTAAGTAAGTATTATCTACATATGTGCACACAAAAGAAACACAATTATTGTTTTGTACGACGCAATTATTGTTTTGTAACCCATTTAAAACGACTGTTTTGTTAAAAATGCCAATTAATTCTCTTAGCCTATTACCAGGAAAGTACCTGGGTCTCGTCCTCGACAGCCGATGGAACTTCACGGAGCATTTTCGTCGTTTGGCCCCTAAGCTAGAACGATCTGGGGCCGCGCTCAAGCGGCTCCTTCCCAACCTCGGGGGGCCAAACGCCTCCTGCCGGAGGTTGTATATGGGGATTGTGCGATCCATGGCCCTCTACGGTGCCCCTGTGTGGGCGCCGGCCTTGAAGCGGCGGCCGGCTCGTACGCTGGTCGCGTCCCAGAGGGTCATGGCTATTCGAGTAATCCGCGGGTATCGCACGATCTCCGGGGAGGCGGCGAACCTCCTTGCCGGATCACCGCCGTGGGATCTAGAAGCGAAGGCGCTCGCGCGCGTCTACAGTTTGCGCGCAGACGCGCGTCGCCGGGGCGAAGATCCTCTGCCGCGCCAAATTAGTGCGTGGCGGAATGAGCTCCGGCGAGATCTCATGGCAGAGTGGAAACAACGACTGTCGCAACCGAGGGCCGGGCACGCTACCATAGCAGCGGTAAGACCCCTCTTTGAGGAGTGGCTTGAGAGACGCCACGGCGTCCTCACCTTCCGCCTGACGCAGGTGCTTACCGGGCACGGCAGCTTCGGTAGGTTCCTGTTTCGGATTCAGCGGGAGGAAACGCCCGAGTGTCGTCATTGTGAGGACCACCTAGAGGATACGGTGGAGCATACGGTAGCGGTATGCCCTGCCTGGGCTGAGCACCGCCGTATCCTCAGGGAAGTGATCGGCGGCGGCGACCTCTCGCGCCCGGCCTTAGTCGAGGCCATGGTGCGGAGTGAGAGGAACTGGGACGCCGTCTCCTCCTTTTGTGAAGCAGTCATGCTCGCAAAGAGAGAGGCGGCCCGCGTGAGGGAGCAATCCTCCTCCTCACGCCCCAGCAGCCGCAACTGGCGACACTACGGGCGTCGGGGATCGAGGGACGATCTCCGGCCACCGTAAGTACGGGCCTGCGGTCGGCGAGTAAGGGCAGCTCGCCGCCCGACCAGAACCAGGCCCGAGCGTACGGCGCGTAGCGTTCCGCGCGCGCCTCAAAGAGCCAATAGACCACCACAGACGGGGCCCTAAAGGGCTGATGTTCAGCCGGGGTTGCGGGGTAAGCGCAATAAGGTACCGCGACCTCGGCACAGAGCAGGAGAAGGAACAGGGGGGTTTTTAGTCAGTAAGAGTCTGACACTCCCTCCTGCCCGGCCCTGGGCGGGAGAAGTCATTTGATGATTTTCCCCTCACAAAAAAAAAAAAAAAGCCTATTACCAGGAAAACGATAAGAACACAATGACGCATTTCACCACTAATGTGTAAACGCAGTCCACGTGGACTAATGCAAAATAGCCAATACTAGGCCAAACTCCGCCCCCAAAGGTGTGCGGTCCCGCTCTAGAACCTTTCGGCCCCATCGGCCATCTGTTCTACGAGCAATGTGCCGTGCCCACTGTCACTTAAGTTTGGCATTTCTTCGGGCTATGTCGGTGACGCTGGTTCTTCTGCGGATTTCTTCATTTCTGATTCGAACATGCACGGAAACTATGAGCATAGCCCTTTCCATTGCTCTTGACAGCTCTAATAAGCTTACACAATACTAGGCCCCATGCCAACCTTCCAGCTTCATGATCACATCAGTTCAATAGTACCTTACAGCCAAAGTGCATCTTATAACAATTCTAACAAGCCCAAACACGGCTAGGATATATTAATTAGGTACGCAGTTCCAGTGCCTACCTTCCAGCTCCATAATCATCATTAAATCAGTTCGATGATAACATTTCCAACATAATTATTTAAGATCATTGGTTTACAGTGCATTTTCATAGTTGCTGAACTACCTTGATTGTGATATCTATGCGAGTGTCAAGTTTCATCATCCATTTCTGATCTTCTTCACCAGTTCCACCTCATCAAACATTACTTTTTGACTGTAAATGCTTGAGTGCTCTATGAAAATATTAAAATTACTATATAGTTGCCTATAATATTTGAGGAGTTCCCTCGATTTCTCATGGATCCCATCATCAAAACTTGATTTTGAAAAGAATGGGACCAATCTGGAAGCATATCCTTTCAATCATAAAAAAAATTTTGCAAATCCGTCCATAAACGACGGAGTTCTGAGGTAAAAAACATAAAAAAAAAAATAAAAAAAAAAATACAATCGAATTGAGAACCTCCTCCTTTTTTTGAAGTCGGTTAAAAATAACATTCTATTCGACAATCAAACCAGTTTTAGATGCAAACTCGTAATCACGAAAAATCTTCAACAGCAATAAGTGTGGGAGAGCCATGCTTCGGCACGAATGGGTCGGCTCGATCGGATTGATACTACGGCCACACGGAAAACCGGCGTGAAACAACACAGCGCAGTGTTTCGCCGTGTGGGTGAGGTTACCAGAGGCCCAATCCTTCACATCCCCCAATTTGTGCCCATAATCCCAAAAGGTCGACAACGCCCCCGTCACTATTCCGTTGTTGCGGGGGTGTTCATGGGCGGCGCTGATTGCTCACCATCAGGTAGCCCGCTTGCTCGTTTGCCGTCCAGATACCTCCGTGTTTTCTGTAAATATTTTATTTAGGATGTTTTCTGTTTACAGGTGGCATAACTTCATTCTCGCCGATGATAAACAATGCGGTACACGTTATCATGTACAGCTACTACCTACTGTCAGCTGAGGGAAGCCCCAAAATGAAGGCAATCCTAATTAAATACAAGAAATGGCTGACAATTATGCAAATGGTAAGTATTGTTGTGTACGGGATTCTTATGTGAATGGATATAATACCTATATGTATTTAGATGAAGAAAGTAATCGTGAACGAAGGTCTAATGAAATTAGCCTACATTATTCTATGGTGGCATTTAAACTTTGTGGTGATATAACGACTAACATAGGTTTATTTTCGGATGACCTTGTGGGGTTATTGTTAAAAAATGTCTACAGTATTTGTCAACTGCGCACGTATTTTTATTCAAGGTAATTTTCTTTTATATCCCATTGGAAACTTCACAAGCTTCTATAATAGAGAGAAAAGTTTTCATAGTTCAAAAGAACCTTTCGAGAAAGTGTCTTTATGTACCAAAATATTCAGAGACAGTCGCAGATGGTGAATCCACAATCAGAAATATGTAATACTATAAAATTATGTTATTTCGGATTCACAACGATGTGTCCGTAGGGACAGGGGCCAATCCAATTTCCTGACAAAACGTTGGCATCAATGGTAAGGTTGGAGCGAAACTTGACACTGAAGCAGTGTATTTAATGGGACCTGTGCTTTTCCAATGTTGCCTTTATACCTACTCAAATCAAGGTTGAAGATGGCGTAAAGTAAATGTAGGAATTGTAAGCTAAGACACGACGTTCAACAGACAAGAACAGAACATGATCAATAGATACAATATTGCGAAAAGGATAGGCTCTCATATTAAAAAAAACTGGCCTAACAACACATTTTTTGTATTATGTTCATTTAAATAAGTTCAAACGATACCTAAACCAACGTTTTATTCTAAACAAATTATTATATGCTTTACAAAAAAAGGTTATTTATGACACCTTAATCACTTATTTTAAACCAGATGAGGACGCCATTTTCTTTCTGGCTAAATCATAGACCGCACATGACTGACATTGGGCGAACTATGCCAGTAGGTACTCAGTGAATGAATTGAATAATCTATCAAGCCTATATAAGTAGCATCGGTTCATTAGTAATCGTTTAATACGCTATCTTATTGGTAATCGTAGCCAACTAAGGTCTGCTTCTTTAGAGGATTAATTCACTTGGCGACTAAACCAACGCTTATGTAGCAACATTTAAGGCTTCGTTTCGTATCAATAATGAAGGATGACTTATGACCTTTATAAATAATAGCTTTTGCCTAAAATAGGCATTTTTGTTTTAAAATTATTCTATGTTCTTTCTCGAGTTCCAAACTATGTCTGTACCAATTTTTCCATAAATAGGTTCAGTAGTTTAGGCGTGAAAAAAAGACAGACAGAGTTACTTTCGCATTTATATATTTTATTTGTTGATAGATGAATTTGACTCAAAAGCTAGAGGCAGATAGTTATTTTTAAGAAGAACTATTTTACTTCTGTAAATCGCGAGTAAAGCTTAGATATCATCTTAACGTAATGGACAAAAATGTAATACTACCTAAGCACTATTTATTTGACTCAAATAGTTACACGCTCAAAGAGAATTTCAATAAAATCGATTCCTGATTTTATTAAAGCTTCACTACTCGTGACTACAGTGCATTCGTTGCAGAAGCCAGATGACGATAAATAGCCAGGAGATCAAATTAAACATTCCTTTAAGTGGCAGGGATTTCGCATTTATTTTAAACTAGCGGTGGCCCGCGGTTTCGCCCGCGTGGATGTCGATTTTACACTTTCTCTAGTTTTTTTTTTTAATTTTCTCTACGTACAAATCTTCTCTGGACTGCCAGACCAAAATTAGCCGAGTCGGTAAATATTGTTGAGTTATAACATAACAATGAAAAGTGGCATTGATTTTTACATAAAGATTTAAATTCTTTTTAGTTCAGTTGAATGGAGACTTTCATTGGCACCCTAGTTACTTTCTCCAGCTCGGCTCTTCTTGTAGCTTAATGTTAGCCCATAGCCTTGTTTGATAGACTATCCAACACAAACAGATTATCAAATTAGAACCAGCAGTTCCGGAGATTTGCGCGTTTAAGCAAACAAACTCCTCAGCTTTACAATATTATTTGTAGAGTAGATTCGCACACCTGTGATTCAACTATGCTAATTTCGTTTAGAGAGAATAAGAATCGAGTTTCATTAGAGAAACCTAGGTCCAGCAATGGACGAAAACGAATTGATGATATGATAAGCAAAAGAGATTATCAGAAAATAGAAATTAATACTAAATTCATGAATAATTATAGAAAAAGCCAATGATCAGTTGTGATATATAACCATACCTATTTATTTATTGAGAAATACTAACAGTTTTCAACTTAGTGGTAAAACTAAATGATTGTAACGAAAATCTACCCTAAAAGTTTCTTAACCCTAGAGAGATAATCTACGTCTTTGAGACGCAGAGCCAACACAAATATTGCTATATCTTTTTTATTTCGCATCGTACCGCTCTGTCCTTCTAAGTTATTCCACTGGCCAAACAGACCTTACGCGAGACGGCAGTGTCTCCCTGGTAAGTACAATAATTACGTAGATACAGGGATAGCGTACGTTCGAGAGACGTATGATTATCCTTTGTGTAACTTTTGAACCTCATTTTCAGTAGTAATAGTTCGTTTTATTTATCGTTTTTTTTTATATTTTAGGTGATTTATATATATTTCTAGGTGATAGCTAACAATGATAAGCCTCTAAGTCTCAGAAATTACATGAAAAAGCTTAGCACAGAACTGATATCACCTTGGATGGAGAAAAGGTTAGAAGCTCCTACTCTTAAAAGACATGTCCGTGTAAATATCCAAGATTTGCTACCAAAAACTAATACTGTAGATAATAGTGAAGAACCAGTAATCAAAAAGAAGAGATTATTGTGCGTATTGTCCGTCAAAAATAAGACATGTTATAAATGCAATAAAAGCATTTGTAGTGAACACAAATCTGATATATGCAAAGGCTGTATCTAAATGTGATTTAAACTTAAAACTTGTTGATTTTTTATATGATACTGTTAATTAGTCCTTATTCTATAATATTAAGTAAAAAAAATGTGATATTAAGTTTAAGATTAACATAATTACTCAACAAAGGAAGACTTAATATTTTTTTAGTTATTTTGTAAGAGGTTTACAAAATTTCTTTGTTTTTAAATTATAATCATTTTCTAATTGTAATTATGTTTTAATTTGTCGTAGAAAACCCTTAACTAATGATTCAATAACTTTTTAAAAGGTTATTTATGGAAACTTGTCCCATAGCCACTTATAAATGCGAATATGTCTCAAAGACGCATGATTATCTTTACCGTAGGTCAAAATAAGATTATCTTTCTAGGGCTAATCATTTTATTTTTGTGACTAAATTCCTAAAAAGTTTCTTCAAAACAATAAAGAAACAAAATGAAATATCTATTCAATTAAGAGATCATTGACCTTTATAAATTGGGAGTTGTACTAATGCCAATTTCTTAGATATAAAACAGGAGACAACTGTGAAATTTATTGTTTGTTTTTCTATATACAAAATGGGACCAGAAAATAGGTTTTTTTATTTAGAAATGGCAGATGAGGTTGAATATTGAAGACATTTTATTGCAACATCTACAATGTTAAGTTTCTCGTCTACCGGTATATCTAAGTATACTACATGTGCGACGCTGCGGGCAGAAGGTAGTGAGACAGGTTCTGGCAAATTTGGTGTTAATATTGTCACCCCAATGGATATGAACCAAGAGTCTGGTATCACATCTACAACGCTAGAGTATAAGGCATTATAAAAAAAATATAATGTCTCCTTTAGATATGCATCCCAGTAGACCAGTGCTAAAATGAGTGAGCTGAGTAATAATCTTGAATCTGGTGTTGTATTCAGAATTTAAAGTTTAAATTATAAATTATTATTCTACATAACAGTCTGCTACTAATTATTTAAATTTTTAATTAAAATTAAAACGCTATTACTAATTATTTAAATTTTTAATTTAGCAGTTTCCAAACGAATATGCACCTGTTGCATTACTTACTTTTTCTCTTGAATTACCACAGTTGATAGGTTAAAAACACCAGCTTATGGTTTGGTTGGAATAACTAATTTTTACTTACTTTGTTTTTTTAATTAAGTAAATATCTATTTGTTAGTTAACTATTTGTATCTACATTGCTTCCAGATCCAGTTTACCTTCATGCTAGTCTACTCTGCACAAGTTTTCCTGCCAAGCTGCCCGGCTCCTTTAGGCATAACCATACTGTACTTTCCTAATGTCATATTTGTATATTACATGTTTTACAACTTTTTTAGACAAAACTATTTAAAAGAACAAAAAATGCTGAATCATTCTAAAAATGGAGTTAAGAAAGATATTTAACATTTTTATTTTCTTTTAAAACATATTTATTTATTAATTGGATTCTTGTTTGTCTATGAGATAAGTATAAGTGTATGTATATTAGATATAAAACATAATACTTGGACTTCTTAATTGTCGATACCTATAGTTGGCCCCATTGGAAATAGTCTTGCTTAGATTTTTTGTCCTTCAGAGAAAGGATTAATTTTAATTTTTGAGCGCCTATTAGCATTTACTCATGTAACAACTTGGTTACTACTGAAATTAATTCAACATAAAAATATCCCAATAATCTATTGTACTCTTATTAGATTAAAAAGTAAGTTGTTTCTTACTAATAGACTTGTAAGAAATGTATGTACCTATTACAATGTTTTTATTGACATTTACAAATAAATTGTTAATTTCCTACAAATCTATTATATTTGTATGACAAACAACAAAACAACTTAAATACGAGAATGTTCTGACTTATACGATAAAAAATTGATTAAGAGATATAAAACCTGTCCATAAGAAAGTATATTTTTAGTAAAACTGAACATAAGACTTTGTTTTTAAGTAAATAAGTATCTAGCAAGAAACCTCTTTTAAGAAAATTTCATAAACAGTTAAAATCTGAATGTAGGTCTCGATATTAAGAAAATAAATGTCAACTAAGTCTTAACTAATTTAGCCTCAGTCTGCAATACAAAACTGTTATAAAAAAAACAATTTTCAATATTTAATCACGAAAGAGTCTTTGAATTGGCATTATAGGGTCGGCCTTTGCATCACCTTGGCATCTATGGTACACATAAACAACAAGCACTTAGCCTTGACTTTGACACTAAAGAGTTTCTATTCTATATTTTTATTGGAATAAGATGTTTAAGCATTGATTACAGTCCAATTTCAATGTATTTTCATACGTTTTCACACTTTGTTCAATGTTTATTCAGAAAACTAGGATAAAAAAATACAAGCCGCTAAACTTAGGTAAACTTTTGTACTGTTGTCAAATTCTGAATAAGTTTGAGAAAATCCAAATAGAAAATACACTTTAAAAAACATTTATTTGGTAATACGGTTAGAATGAAACGTCACTTACCGTGTAATAAGAAAGCAGGCCAGCATTTTCGTCCAGCACGAACCACCGGTACTGCCACCCTTTCATCACATTTGTCCATTTACTTAATGAACCCTCCATCATGATTACAATTCAAAAGATATAGCAAAATACATGAAAATAAATAAAGACTGTGAATTTTAGACTGCGGCACGAACCTTCCACCATAAATAATCCATACGTTTGACAGTTCATGTCTGTGTTGTCAGCAGCGAAAAATTAATAGCGAGAATCGATTCAACTAAGTTTGTGTCGATTCAACAAGTAACGCACTCGCATACAATACTCAGCAGTTTTTAAATAATCATGTTTGTTGAGTGTTTTTGATTGTATCACAGATTGGGTGTTAAAAAAGCTTGATTAACGAGATATAAGGAGCAAAAGAAAAAAAAAACAATTTAATAGGCAGTTATTTTATATTGTACAACCATTATCACTCTTTTGTAAAAAACAATTACGACTACACGCAACAATCGCGTTGAATTTAATTTAGTAATACTAATACTAGACTATTTACAAGGATCAGACACCATTTGGCATTTTGGATCAATGTCTCCTAAACGATCTTCCGTGTTTCGTTTTACTGTAACCTGACGATATTGACACTTGATTTGTGTTTTCCTGGTCTAAATTTAAGCCTGATAAGTCTACAAATAATGGCACGTTTTCAGAACCCTCTGCAACTACGTCGTCACTTTTCTCTTTGTTAAAATTTTCTGGAGTTCCTTCTCCTTCAATGGCCAATGATTCAATGTCTTTGCTGAGAGAGTTGTTTTCTGCAGCCTCAACGAATGCGTTTGATAAGTCACCATCCAGCTTGTTCACGTTGCCCGAAGCGATGTCGTACATGAAAATTTCTTTTTCATCAGCAGCATCGTCTCTGAAAATAATATTTATTTTATTACTTTTCATCCTATTTTTATTTGAGTAAAATAAGTATAACAATAAATTTTCTTACCCAGTCACGAGTAAAACAACTGATTGCAAATCAGTTGCAGTTTTCTTCTCGACTTCTAACCATTTCTCAAAGTTATCTTTTGTTGGTCGTTTAAGCAGTTCTTGCAAGCTTTCACCAGCAACAAATTTAATTCCCTTTAAATTTTCTTCAACTGCTCGTTCGGCTCTAGAATGAGCTCCTAAAGCTTCAGTCTCGACAGGTGCCAAAACAACAACTGAAGTTACTTTTCTTCCTTTCAATACGTCTGGTAGTGGGAATTGGTTGCCACTTACTTTTAAAGGTAAGTATCTGTTGTATCTTTTGTCATTTAATGCTACAGGGTCAACTTGCGTGGCGTTTTCTTTAATGTATTCCTTAGCTAATTGTTGTCCTTCAAGTGTTTCAGGATTAAAATGAACAACTTTCATTTCAACGGCTTGGTCTTTTGCAGGAGGAGTGACGTAACTGGCAACGTTTTCTGAAGCAGCAAATTCCTGATCGTCATCTATGTCTTCATCAATTCTAGATTGAATAGAATCTCCGTTAGGCTTTACATACACGGGTCTATTTTCACTAGATGCAATCTGCTGAGCTCCACCAGCACTGAAGAAGTTAGCCAACTGATCCGGAGGCAAAGAATCTAAAGGCGTGTCTCCTACTTTATCGTAATCCAAAACGCTAATGTCAGCATTGTCTAAGATACCTGAAGATAGGAGCTGTTGACGAAGGTCATCTGGTACTTCATCAGGAAGCTCAATAGCTGGTTTCTTCTTTTTCTCTTCCTTTTTAGTTTCCGGTGCTGAAGTTACTGAGTTTTGTGTTGACGATACATATTTGGTGGTAGTCGGTTTAATTTCCACTGTCCTCGAAGTTGACTGGTAATAGGGTGGAGACGATGTGCTGGTGGCAAACGTGGGTTGAGGCCGTGATCTTTCTTGTATGTACTGAGATCTGGGAGACGTCGCCTGAACTTGCTGCTGGTAAATGTTCTGGTACTGTTGCTGTTGTTGTTGCTGTTGAGTTTGCAATAGTTGTGCCTGCAAGCGTTGAATTTCTTCTTGTTGCTTTTGAACATTGTGAGCTAATTGCAATCTTACTTGTTCCTGTTCAGCATCTAATTGCTGTTGTTGTTGTTGCAATTGCTGTTGGTGCTGACGTTGTAATTGTTCATGTTGTTGTCGCTGTTGTTGGCGCTGCTGTTGTTCGTGTTGTTGGCGCTGCTGTTGTTCGTGTTGTTGGCGCTGCTGTTGTTCGTGTTGTTGGCGCTGTTGTTGTTCGTGTTGTTGGCGCTGCTGTTGTTCTTGTTGTTGACGCTGCTGTTGTTCGTGTTGTTGACGCTGCTGTTGTTCGTGTTGGTGACGTTGTTGCTGTTCGTGTTGGTGACGTTGTTGCTGTTCGTGCTGATGACGCTGTTGTTGTAGTTGATGGTATTGTTGTTGTTGACTAGGTGTTGGTGTAGGTTGACTAGGGCTAGATTCTCCGAGGATATTGAACGGTTGAGATGTTGGCCCGTTAACAGTAATGTGCTGTTCATATTTGGAAATAGCTGGGACCAATTCACCACCATTTGGTACCAGAGAGCCGAAATTTTGTTGGTGTTCAATATTTGCTTTGTGATTAAAAGGTCTTTCTGAGGGTGAACCTTGGTGGAAAACATCGGGAGTTGGTGAGGGTTGTGGGTGGAAATTGTACAAAGGAGCAGAAGATGGTGAAGGAACGAACTGAGTTTGAGGTAAAGGAGATGCCGAGGGAGAAATGGGACCAGGGAATGTATGCTGTTGTTGGAAAGGAATTTGAGGTGATGGTCTAGGGAGACCTTGGGGTCCTTGATGGAAACTGAACTGCTGTTGGGGTTGAGGTTGGTGGAATGGGGGTCGGTTATTTTCAATAAGTGGTGGGGAAGGTTTCAAATTGAAAAATGGAGAAGCACTGGGGTTTATGGCGATAGATGGTTTGTTGTGAAGGGAATCAGTGAATTGTGGAGCTGGTCTTTGTTGAGGGAGCTGTTGATTTAGTGGAACAATTGGGGGACGACGGTGTTCTTGGAATTGAGCTGGTGTTGGACTAGGGTTAGGTTGAGAAAGTGGGCCAAATGATTGCAAAGGCCTGTTGGGTAGTTGTTGCTGTTTTGGTGGGTCAACTTGATCGGTAGTAATAGTGTGATAATTTTCTTGTAAGTATTTGGGATCATCAAAATAGTTCTTGGGTTGGGATGGGAAAGGCCTTTGGGGTCCTGAATGGAAACTAGATCTTGGAGGTCCATTAAATGGTGGTCTCGAAGAAAAAGGCGGATTTACACGTGAGTGGAAACTAGGTCCGTTGTTTGGTCTTGGGAAAGAAGCAGTCGGGAAGGCAGTCACTGGGCTGGGAGCAGTTGGGCTACCAAAGTGTGGGACAATGGGACCATTTGAGAAAGCTGCGTTAAAAATGGGTGTCGGCCCAAATGGGATACGAGGTGTTTGTGGTGGTTGTTGAGGCTGTTGTGGTCTGAAAGGGGATACTGAGGGGCCTTGTCTTGGCAGCTGCTGTTCATTAGGAAGATGTTGAGGTTGGAACTGGATACGACTTTGAGCTTGCTGGGGCCCAGATCTAAAATATTGTGATTGCTGTTGGTGTTGAATGAAAGATGGTCTGGTACTGGATTCTACGAATTGTGGCTTCTGCGATACGGAACGTTCAAGTTGGATTTGACTTTGATGGATTTGATGATTATGAATGCTTTGTTGAGTAGGTTGAGGAGGGGAATTGGGAAATGCTATAGCTGGTTTAGGTGCAGTTTCTTCGTGGTGCTCAGAATGGCTGCTGCTCTCACGTCTATCACTGTAATGGCGACCTTCATTACCAAAAGTTACTTTAACACTGCTGTCACTGTGGTAAACCTCAGATTCTGGTTTGATTATAGCTCTTAAAGTAGTTGTCTTCGGAGGAAGATAAGGTTCAGGAGTTACAGTTACGTATTCATCTTCGTGTTCATGGTGTTCGTCTTCATCGTTTGTTGGAGGAGTAATAGCAGGAATCGGCTTTTCATAGATTACTTTGTCTTTTGAATGAGGGTCTTTGCTGTATTTTACGTAGAAAACATGGACAGGTTCCTTCTTTTTCTTTTGTACCGGGGGTGGAGGAGGTGCTGGCAGAGTTTCATTGGATTCTTTGATAATGATTTCAATGATCGGTTCTGGTTCTTCATAATAATGAGGGTGGTGGCTGTACAAAGGAGCTGTCGGTAAAGTTCCAAATGGAGGTCCGTAGCTTTCACCAGATTGGTCTACGTTTAGAATTTTAGATTGAGCATAGATTTCGTTTTTGTTGACAACTGTTTCTTCTGCGTTTTCTTGCGTAGGATCATACAGAGGGTCCTTCTGTGAATACTGCACTACTGGCTCCATTTGAACGGCATATGGAGGCAGCTTTCCTTTAGTGGAGCCATGAGAAACACGACGATTGTTGTTTAGTGCTCGGTAATGTTGAACTCTTGAGTGTGGAAGTACAAGGGAATATTGTAAATTTTCATGTGTTCGTATGCTGTCTAATTGTCGTTTCGGTTTCGCTTTTGCCGTCGTATTTTTCGCCAATGCTATGCTGAGCACAGCCAAGGCTGTGACCTGAAACAATAAAATTTACCAATTAATCGATTGGTAATCGAATATTTTTTATAGATGTATTTTTTTAACCAGGCAACTCTGTATGTTTCTACCTGTGACACTTGACAGTAGTAAGCCTGAAATAGAGGGTGTACTGGGCAAATATTCATGGCTTAAAAATATTATCTAGGTATGTGGGAAATCTTTTTTCTGTTTGCTGACCGAAAATTTACTGATATCTAAAGTTATTGTTTATTATAGAAAGTACAAATATATTTATAGAATTTCGGGTACAGAATACCTACATTGATTTGCAAATAAATGTGGGTGGGACGAAAGTTTATGGATCTTAGCGGTTTTTGAATAGTAAGTAACTATTTGACTGCGCGATGTCGCGTCGCCGCGATGCAGACGCTGCTCACGAATATGAGTCCCGTTGTATCTTGAAACTAGTAGGGCTTTTCGCAGTTTGTTCACGTAAGTCGTTATTTTCGATGAATTCAATAAATTAGGTTCTTAGCGGCTCTCTTTAGCTTATGTGACTCTAAAAGCATATGCGTTAATTTGATAAACGTTTATATTACGTATTTAAAAATCTATCTACGTTCTCTGTACCTAATACTTATTTATATTTATTCATTGTAGAATAAAATTTAATAATAAACAAA